ATAGAGTATGAATTAGAGTGTACCGGAGTGGACTCTACCATTGGGAGCTAGGACAAGTAAAACAGCTTAGGTTAGTACATGTATTACCTACCACTGTAGAGCAAGTTACTACACATATGGATCAAATCCAGAGAGCCGAAGATGTAGAGGATGAATCAACTTATAGATCTGATAATGATGTCGATGTTGAAGTAAGTCTGAACCACGAGCCTTTGGTTAATAAAGCTCTGATAGAGTTTCCAGAAGCTCCATCTCTTCCTTCTTCTGCTACATGCAGATATCCTGACAGGGTTTGTCGTCCACCAGATCGTCTCTAGTTTGTGATTGACTTCTGACTACTAATAGCTAGTGAGGGGGAGTGTAATGTATGCAATATCTTATAGTTGTTTGTGTTCTATATCTTAGTCATTTATTATTGTTGCTGTGACCATGGTTATATTGTGTTGGTGCATAGCTAACTAATTATTAATGGTTATGGATGATTTGTATATATAATCTGTAAAATTATTTTGGAAAAGAATGTCATGGCTTTTGCCAGTTTTATGTGTTGTTACTATTACACTACAGAAACTATAAGCATAAAACAATAAATGTAAATTTACAAATATTTTACCTGTGTCAGATGAAAGGTTAATTCCTTTAAACAGGGGTGTAGGCAATGGGAGGCTAGGAGGGCTAAAGTCCCCCACAGATTATGTGGGAAAATTTTTTAATAATTATTCTTATAACATTTAATCTAAATGTCCAAATACATGAAGTCTACTATTGTTTTGTGCAATAAATTCATTTCCAATTTGCTTTAAATCAATTAAGTCTGTTTGAGTCTTATGTACATATAATGTCATACAGTCATTAAGCCGAACTTGATTAATTGTAGAGAGTAGCCATGTTATTGTCCTGCATGGTGCACTGAAACTTCTTTCACTTATAGCATTAGTTGCAGGCATGGCCAGAACTAACTTTGCCACCTTTGAAACCTCAGAATAATATTCCTTTTCTGTCCCAGTTAAAAATTTCAAGAAAGACAAACTAGATTGCAGATCTGTAATAGATTCAATACTATGTAGTGCTATAAGCTGAGCTTGCAAACGATCCTTGTTAATATCTGTTTCATAAAACTGAATAATTCCTTCATAAATAGCTGGATGTACTTGCTTCTCAAAAAGAATTAACTCTAATTTTTGAAGCATTTCATACCCTTCTTGTTCAAATCTGTTCTCTATTGTAGCTATCATTAAATCAATGACTTCAAAGTATATGCTTTGAAAATAATCCTCCACTGTGCTTGGATATTCAGGAATAGCTTCCCCAATGTCATATCGCTTAAGTGGTCTTTTGCGACGTGGTAGTCTAGGGGTAGATATATTGAGTTTTGAAGACTTTCCTTGTACATATTTCCAAATTAATCAAACTGTTCAGTACTACAAATTGACTGAAGTGAAATAATAGTTCTTTCAATTTCTCCTTGTGCCTCACAAGCAGATATTGTTGATAGTTGTAGAGTCTTAGAAAGATTGTCGTCCATGTTGAATACCTTTTGCCCAAAATCCACACGAAAGAAATACTCAAACTTTTTCATCTGAGATTACACACCTAAAATTCTAGCTTTCATCTCTGTTTCCTTTGTAGATTCCTTAGCAACTTCCCAAGTTGAAAGACAGGCTTCATAATTTTCTGATATTGATACCAATGCCTCAGTCCTGACTGTCCACCTGGTGGGACACAATGTACGAATACTTGGAGATTCAAAGGTTGATATACTTTTGAAAATTGCTTCACGTTTAGGTGATTTTTTGATAAGCTTCATTATTTCATGGGTTGTGTCAAGAGTGTCTTTCATTAATTTGACATGCTTAATCGAATCCTGTACAGCAATGTTCAGGGCATGTCCACAACAAAGTGTATGAAGTGCTCTTGGCTCAAGTTCCATTATTCCTTTAGCTACTTCTGATTTATGGCCTGCCATTGTGCTAGCTTCATCGTAGCATTGGCCTCTGCAGTTCTCTGTTCGTAGATCCATGCGTAAAAGAATATCTTTTATAAAAGAAATGACTACTTCAGCTGTTGTAGATTCAAGACTTTGCAACCCAATAAATTCCTCATTGACATCGAGGCAGTCAACATATCGTAAGCAAAACACCATTTGTTCAGTATTACTAATATCAGTCGTTTCAAAACCATAATTGTATACCACTTCCCAGACACTTCTTTTTTTTTCTTGCTGGATTGTAAGTGCCATTTTCAAAATTTTATTCTGAATATTGGGTATAGTAAACTTGTCTTGCCTTTTTTCCATCCAACGTGTAAGCTGTGGAATATTGTGAGTACGAAGTTTTAATAGCTGAATGAATTTGAGTCATATTCACCTCCAACCAGATTATCATCTCCACTTTTATATCTACCTCTGAGAGCAATACCCTGCCTACTAAGATAACGAATGCTACTAATTATTATCTGCAACAATGCCCTGTTGTATGACTTATGTTTTGCATATAATGTTGATATTTTGTTTCCTATATTGGCTGTTGATTTAGCAATTCTTTTTATTAGATCAACTGCTTGGTGATGTGATGCACTTTTCTCATGTTTATTAAAGCGTTCGATGGCTTTTTTCCAGTTTGAAAAACCAGTTGTAGCAACAGCTGCATCCTTATTTACAGAAACAGGAATATTTCTTTTATTTGCCACATGACAATAAAAACAAAGAACAGTATCACTAACTACTTGGTAATGAAGCGAAGGATATCTTTGATACCATGTTGAACAAAAAGATCAATTTTGTTTGCCAAATAATCTGTAAGGAAACGATATAACTGGTTGACTTAGTTTTGAAGGCAACAGCTCTAAAACAGCTTGATCACCAACTGCCATATCAATGCCAGATCTTACACCGAGGCTAGGGCCTGCGGCATCATAGTCACCATCACAGTCTGCTGCTTGATCACTAGTGGACAAACTGCACTTTCCAGCACAGATTCTTCTGAATGAGCAGATGATAGTAATGAAAACTCTGGAAGTGGTCCCCACTCTGAGAGTGATACTTCATTACATGCTGACAAGAAAGAATTAGACTGAATACAGGCTATAATAGTCATACTGAGATGGATACCTGAGGACAAGTCGAAAGCTTCTGAGAGGTGTGGAACAAGCCACCTTCTTAGGCCGCTCTGAGACATTACAAATTTGTTAAGAGAATACCAGTAATCCAATTGAGAAAAGCAGCTGCTAGAGAGCATGCAACCATATGCGCAAACACCAAATATTGGCGTGGTCACACCTCAAAAGGGGTGTGGCAAATTTTTTGTCACACTGCTATATTCACAGCCTCTCCACTTTTCAAAAGTTGTCTACGCCCCTGTTAAAGCGTGTATAACAATAGCTATAGTTGTTGAATTTTCAGCACTAGTAGTGTTATTGTGGTGTAGAAACGGCTATAAAAGACTTGCTGCTAACGATACCTGCTTCCATATTGTCAAAGTATCTCATTCCAAGTCATTTAGAACTACAATCAGGTGATCCTTCACCTCCAAAAAATTACTCAGCACGTAAAAAATTGAATCCCTTCGTGTTACGCAGTTGTTTGTAAGTTTTTTTCCTGCTACATTGATGAGACTCTCTGTGGCGTTACATAACTTATTCACTTTTGTGACCATTAATTTTACTTTCTGCAGCAATGACCTGAAACAACAACTAGTTTTAAATATTTTTACTACGAGCCGTAGTGTGTGGACAAAACACACTAATTGCTTCCATCATGCTCACATAATGCTCAAACTGAACATAAGCTTCAGTTTCTTCATTAGCTGCTTGTGACTCAAGACGAATTCGATCCAAGTCCTCAGTATCTCTTTCCATTAATATTTGACTATCTTTTTCAAATTCTGTTATTATTTCCTTGCTATTGTTATCTCTAATGTGTTGCCGTCATCCCCGAATGGTCATGTTCCTCTGCATTATACATTAATTTCTTCTAAATTTGACATGCACACACAACATTACTTCCATTGTTGTTCATACACAAAGTATTTTTGAGATCAATGTTCATCTCCGTAACTATATTACATAAAAATTCAACAATTTTTGATCTGTACGTGATGAAAACTGTCTTACTGTTAGGCAAATGATACGACTTTTGATTTCTACAATAAATTGTGATGTCATGTCTAGAAACGAGGCAGTCATCCCAGGCTTAGACCAGATGTCCATGAAAAGATTGATTCATCTGGCCTTTTCTCAAAAAGATTGGATATCGGTGTTCATGCTAATGCACACAGAATCGAACTCCTTGCTTATTTTCTGTCTTGATGGTAATGGATACCTTTTGTCAAGTGCCAAGAGCAATTCTCAAAACTCTTGGTTTTCAACAAGAAAATGAGCGACATATGTGGAACCTACAAAAATGGCCAATTTCGTCGGATTGCTTAAAACTGAATTGAGCTCTCTGTATATTGATTGTAATGCTCCAAACTAGTCTCAAGAGGGAGTTGTGCCTTGTGCTGTTTACCTGAAGAAGTATCTTATCCATTTTCCATTGAAAACTTTACTGCCTCTTCTGTTACTTTAAGTACAGCTGGATGCATGTTTATGATGCTACTTCAGGTTTGTTGGAAAGTTGCCCATCAAAGTTTTACCTCAAATTTTATTAGAATCATCTGTGGTTGGCTTAAGGCTAAAAGATATCTGACTCCTTGCAGTTGTTAAAATGTTTCAACACTGCTTTTCCTTCTTTCAAGGTCATTAACTTCAGCCATGATTCTTCAAGATTTTCATTGTGAATAAATATGCACATGACCTCAGCATGCACTTTGCACATGGTAACGTTCAATGACAATAGTGTGTATCAGGAGCCATGTAGTCTACATGAAGAGCCTGCACTCCTCAGAACACCGAAAGTGCAGGAAATCGTATGGTTTTCCTCATGCTATAATGGATACCCATACTATTTTACTTATTTCTCTGATAGATACAGTGCTGTAACAAGCACAATTAATACAGGAGAAGTTGCTTGTTAAAAGAAACAAATTTAGTTTCATGTGTGAAGTTTCAGCAAAGATCTGCCACCGCGAAAATTATTTATGTAACAACAATTGCTTGACTTTGGGTTTTGTACAAATCATTCACAGATTACGTCGAACCTCTAGTCTTTCCATAGACTTAGAAAGGTGTCGTGTACATGTCCTGCTAGTTTGAATCATAATGGAGCAGATGTAGCTGTAGAAAAAGTGCCATAAACTTGGTCATAATAAGGTGACCTAAACTACTCACTACACAAGAGCTGTTCTCGCTATTTTGCCGTAAAATGATAAAACTAACTCTGCTCTTTGCTATTTACCAAAAATGAAAGTCATCTGTGCCTTTGCTTAGGAGATACACCTCTTCATGCACAGCCATCAATTCCACTTTTTAGCAACAAAGCAACTTTGATTTCTGTGCCAATCATTCACAGGGGTGCTCGGCTTATGTCAAAGGGTCTGGTTTTGTACTCCCCTTCGCTTAATGCATTGTGAGACTCCCCTGTTGTTGGGTCCTATTTTATTCAGTTAAATTTCCCTCAAAGTTACTGTTTTTTAGAAACTTCCTATTTATCAGCTTATGAGCTACACGTTTAAATTTTGAATGATTTTAATGATATTCATAAGCCATTGGCAATGTGTATCATTTTCAGAACCTGTGTCAGGAAGTAAAGCAATAAAGGATCTTTTAAAAATTGTGTAGGGCCTTTGTTTTGACTGAAGATTCTATATTTCATTTTAGTTTAGTTCTGCAGTGTTAGTCCATTTTAATTTTAGTTCTTAAAAGGGTAGTATTTAAGTTCTAGTTTCAGTTTTAGTTATTAAAAGTGTAGCATTTAAGTTCTAATTTTAGTTTCAGTTATTATAAGTGAAGCATTTTAGTTCTAGTTTTAGTTTTAGTCATTAAAATGGTAGCATTTTAGTTTTAGTTGCAGTATTTTAAATTGTCAAATTCTAGTTTTATTTTTTTGTATAAATGTAGTTGATTTCCACTTCTAGCTCTTGGAACTAGAACTAGAAAAATATAGATGTTCTAAAATAGATTTGGCTCCATTTCTGTTAGAACTAACACAACACTAATCCCAACAATAGTTGTGGAGACAATAGTGACGACAATGATTATGTTGGCGACTGTAATAGAGAATGATGAGAGACTCATTCAACTAGAGAAACAGTTACTAAGAGAGATAATGTCCCTAGAACAAAGGGAACAGCAATGCACTTGGTGATATCTACCCTCTCTGTCATCTCTTCAAGCAACTTTTTACTACAACTGTTTCTCCCCTATGTCTCACACTTACACACTCTTTAATTAACGAAGCTACCAGTTACCCAAATGATCTCTACCAATTATAACGATGGTGAAATATAGCCCAAGAACTAGGCGTATTTTAGTTTTCCTGATACATCAGAAGCAGTATTTCTATATGCTTGCATTGCAAATTAACTCAGGCCTTTTGAGGCTTTTGTAAACAGTAGGAAATACTTAGTTACATAGAAAAAAGATTTGCAACACGTGTTTGACCAGTGTTTGGCAGACATTACTTTACCATGACATCACCCAGCCTGGGTTGCTACACCTTGCATAATTATGATCAAAGGTATTATATCATTGACTATTATGAGACCGTAATTGACAAGAGGGCCCTTGTGGTGCATTATTAAATTTATCAGTAGAGGGACAATAAGTCAACACACGCGTTGGTTGAATAATAGCTTTCTGCACCAAGTGATTATAGAGACCATAAGCTATCATTTGATGCCAAAGACGCCGCCATACCCTTTGCAGTTCTTCAGAAAGAAGCTTCTAGATCCTCGAACCATTACTGTGCACGGAGCGCGTCAAACCGGCCATCACACGGAGGTACCTTGGGCGACATGGAAACAATAGGTATCCTAGCAACTTACCATAATTACAAGGAATTGTAAACAATCACTATCTCTGTACAAGTATGGAGAAAGCAAGGCAAACTGACCTTGTACAACACAAGGACCAAGGTAGAAAAGCTAACACTACCTAGAGATGCCACAAGACTACTTTGATAATCAGCAGTAAGTAATCAATCAAATAACTCACACTGAATAAAAAGAAATTACTTGACACCAAGTCAGAAACAAAAATAACCACTTAACACTACAATGCTACACTTCAACTACATTATTAATACAACATAAATACTACAAGCAATACAGTATTACAATTATCATTATTGATAATAAAAATCAATAGAAATTGTCATGGATAATAGCGATGATGGGAACAGCAGTAATGAGATGACCAAGTGAGAGCTAGTTTGAGAGGAGACCTAGGTGAGACTGGGTTAAGCCAAGACCCAGACATAAGTAGAATAAGTGCAGCTTTAATCATGATTGGTTTTGACTTGACAGAAAATGGAGTCAGACATCTTGGGGAACCAGTGGAGGACAATGAGGTACCTGTAGAGGTAAAGAGAGGAATAAACTTAAAGAAAAGAGGAAGACTTACTTACTTCTTCACTCACTGAAATAAAGGGTCTGACTCACTTATGGTGAGTGACATGTAAAATACACATTAATGTACTATCCCTGTTATACTGTATAACAAATACAAACACCCATTATACTCCCTCATGTGTCTTCATCACCTACTCACATGTCTTCATCACCTACTCACATATCTTCATCACTCACTCACATGTCTCCGTCACTCACTCAGTCGTGGTAAGTTACAAGTACTACAACACACGTTAATACACTATCCCTCCTGTAAAGTATAATAAATACAATTAGACTTTCTGTCAAAATTACCTTTCAACACTTCTTAGACTGCTTCGTATCTTTGTGTTGCTCTACCTTTGTTTCACTCTAGGCCCTTGAAATGAAATCCTGTCACTCAAATGGAGAAGATAATAACACTTTCACACATTAATGTTTATTTATTATAATTACCATTGTTATTTAAAATTCTACAAGCTCACTGCTGTCCTTAAACTTTCTACGGAGTGTCTAGAGTCTTGACAGAGTTGCTAGAACTAACACAGTGTTTATAGAGCAAACACAAGGTTGCTCAAGGTAACACAGAGTTTCTCAAGCAAATCCGGGGTCGCTCGAACAAACATGAAGTCTCTAATTTTAAGCAAGAGTTACTTGAGCTAAAACAAGGTACTTAGAGCTGACTCTGAGGCTCGGAAGCTAACAAATAGTTGCTCGAGCAAACAAAGAGTTGCTGGAACTAACCATGAGTCGCTCGACTTCTCAGACTTTACTAAAGTAATTGAAAACCTTATAACAGAACTAATACTTACCTTTTTTGTCTTTCCAGCTTGAGTAAGAGTAGTAACATCGAATAGAAGCCTTCAACAAGCAGAAAGCCATTTTTCTTTCCCATAACACGGAAAAATACGGATACTTCTAATAACATCCTTAAAGTGCTTTTTCTCCACAAAATGCATTGGACCACTCCCACTACCTCTACCTATTAGAGGGGCCGTAACTGAGTAACCATCAAGCGGATTGGGGTCAAACCTTTACAAATGGGACGAACAAAGCTTGCTTTACAACTCGGTACATTAATCTCGAAATTGATTTTTTGCACCATAAGGGCCATTTTGTCAATTATGGTCACATATAGAAGGACGTCAAAAAATACTAAGGCTTTGTCATTTTGACCCAATTTTTGTCTTAAGGACAGGAAGGACCTTGCAATTCCAATTGTGGAAACAAAATTCCATGTTTATCAAAAGTTATTACAAAAATTTAGAGGTTACATAATATGGAACAGACTTCAGTGAACTGATCTTGAGCCAGCACAGCCAAATAAATTAAGAAATAATAAATCCCCAAGAGGAGGGAAAAAGGCAAGGA